TAGATCGTATTGACGCGTATTGGATTAATCATCCTAAAAGTACATTTTGAAAATACGTAACACAGTTTGGCCATCGAGACGAGACGAGAAGACCAGCTATTGGGATAACTTTTAATTTCTTAAAAGTTTAAGGTTAGACTTTAATTTGGAAATTTAATAATGGAATAATGCGACGAAACAGTTGTTATTTAACAGTTGGAATAGTGTACGTACAAAAGGCAGTCAAGGAGGCGTTGTTCAGGTGGAAGAGGTAAGTTCGAACACCGAGGACTGCCGACGTGCAATGTGCACCCTTTCGGCGCGGTGTCGCATTCAATGGCTGTTGTCTGGCGGAGCGGATTGCGTTAATGAAAGGGTTAATGATGATTTTATGTAATGATTAAGGCGTTCCAAACCCCGAAGACTGGGTTAAATCAGGAATTCAAGGACTTGCCCGAGGAAAAGAATTAAAATTCGACGTTCCACTTGTCCGTCATGATCCCCGATGACGCTACCAGGCCATGACGATTTCTTGCCTCACAGCTACCAACCCGGTGATCCGTTTATCGGTGCGTTTACCCCAATAAAGGCAAAAGGTCGCAGTAAGAGGCCTAAAGTCCGGGTTATAAACCGATTCCTCCCGGCGTCTCCGCTCCCCCGGCCGCTAAATGCACTCCGGAGGATAACGTCGTAAAACCAGGAGGTGCTCTTCGCCCGGAATAACGGAGCCCTTCGAATGCCCGGAAGCCGGGGTTATTCACTGACCACTCCACTCCAGGAATGCACCGGCAGGTACTGGCTCCTCCGCCATCGACGAGTCCTTCGCCCCTCTGCAGGACATCCGGCAGGCTCTTCTCGCACCGACCAATGCCGAGTGGAGGCCAAGAAGTGTCCTGGACCGCCATTCGCGTACATCTCTTAACCCTTTGCTCGATACTATGGCACCTTCCCGGAATTTGATCGCGATCATTCGACCCGAATGGACTATCCCCGAGTCGCAGTTTTAGATCGGAAGTTTACGTCAGGATCGATTTGACGATCACTTTGTATCAACTTCCCGATTAGGGAATGAGTAGCACGTAGTATGACTTTTAAAGTAAAGTGAAACTTGTCGGTTAATAGAAATTTAATTAATACGCCATCTGTTGCATTCATATCAACGATTGCGTCGTGCTGCATTGAGAACTGGAATGATATTCCCAGTATTATTAATATTAATATTATTTATTTAAAGCCTAGTGGCATCAACCAATATGTCGTTCCAATGGAACGATCCCGCTCAATTCCCTGTGAAATAATCGAAATGTGGGAGTTCGAGCTAATTTTGATTCCGATCTAGGCTGAATAAAGAGAATTCGTCTGAAATAAAGATTTTGAGAATGTAAGGGCAGTACTGAAGTGTTCACGATTCATGTGCTAGAGTTTCGGGTAGATCGTTGACATACCCTTACGAATAAGGGTCATTTGAATCGATTGGGTCGAGGTTTCACTTCATCTTAAGGTTTGCGACGAACGGGCCCCGATAAGCTCGCCTTGGTTCGAGGTGAACGAAATGTCTTGCACCATTAAAGACGCGTTTGCGACGAGCGTGGAGGCGCTAACGAGGCGGAGGATTTAATCGGCGGAATCAAAATCTAATTTGGGGCCGCGGCCGGAGAGTGTCGCGTAGCCGTTCGTCGGCGACTCCTCCATTAATTACTCGGAAGGCCCTCGGCTAATCAATAGATAGTTAGCGGCCAGAGGCCAGTTTCGCGTCAATAATTGCCAGCGTGGCAGGAAGGACGTGGCTTTGATCCTCTAATTTACATTACTCGCGATAATGTCCTGTGCCTTACGGACCGATTGTTCCGAACGATGGATTTGATCATACCGCAAGTTCTAACCTAGAAATTGTATAGGAGTCGGTTCACACCTATACCCTCGAGAGTGATAAATTTTCAAGGATTTGCCGCAAATCTCCCCCAATTTCCATGGTGCTGGTGCAAAACTATATCGCGGATAGAGTCTGATACCAAATGGAGAACATTTTACGGTACAATGGGAGATTATTATCTTGGAATTATCCTGCGAGTCCTAACTTAGAAATTGAGCGGTCAAAAATGACGGAGCCATTTTACACCTATACCCTCGAGAGTGATAAATTTTCAAGGATTTGCCGCAAATCTCCCCCAATTTCCATGGTGAACGATATCGCGGATAGAGTCTGATACCAAATGGAGAACATTTTACGGTACAATGGGAGATTATTATCTTGGAATTATCCTGCGAGTCCTAACTTGGAAATTGCGCGGTCAAAAATGATCGAGCTGATTTACACCTACATCCTCGAGTGTAGTAAATTTCCAAGGATTTTGTCGAGAATTTCCCCCAATTTCCATGGTGCTGGCGCGAAACGATATCGCGGATAGAGTCTGATACCAAATGGAGAACATATTACGGCACAACGGGAGCTTATTACCTCGGGAACTTGTATCGGATCGTTCACGCCGAGAAGTATTTAAGCTTAATCCGGGAACGAAATTACCTGGATATCGTGTAACAGGGGCTCCCATTGCGGCGTAAACAGCGTTAACCTGGCAAATAGTAGCGGCGTTTCTTCCGAAGTCACGCATTCGATATTAAAGGCTTTCCGTGGAAATAGGTCAGGAGGAAGTCTCCCGGGAAAGAAAGCCCGGTCTCGAGGGAAGTAAGTTGAACCCGGCACTTTAATTTTACGGCATTAACAGTTATACAGCAGGATAAGTTTTTGTTGCCGGGAAAGTTTTCTTTTCACCCGGAATGGCCTCCTTTCGCCGAAAGCCGGCTGCAGAAAGGCCTCGATGCAGAAGCGTTGCAGGCGTCATTCCAGGGCAGAGAAGCACAAAGCCGCGGAGGAAGCTTGGAAAAAGGCCGCGATTACTCCCGCGGCCCTCGAAGGGGAATTTTGAAAATTTATTTGGCCGTCGGGACCGCGGCTCGGCCCCTCCGCCTATTTGTCCAATAAAACACGGAGGCTCCGCGGGAATGCCGCATAAAACGGGCATTACTCTAAACTTTTTCCCGGTCTTGGCAAGTCGGGGCGCTAAGCAAATCCGCTCCCATCATCCGCACGGCCCCGATATATCCGCGCTCGCAAATATATCGCCGAAGGATGAGATCGCCGGATTTGGAGGACGAACGTATACGTCCCGGCCCAAAGGATGTCCCACCAGGATCCAGGGACCAGGGAAGACACCTCCGATTTATATCCTCGAGAACATTGGACGAAAACGGGGACCCGTCAAGATGGAATATTAAAATCCTTTAAGACCACCTCAAGGACCCCGAAGAGTCCTTCCGGTTTCTCGCGGTTAGGAAAGAGCTAGAACCTGGAACGAGAATATCCGTTCCCATAATCCACAGCCGAGAATATATCGCCGAAGGACGAGATCACCGAATTTGGAGAACGAATGTTTATATCCTGGTCCCGAGGATGTCCTGTCGCGGCTGCCAGGATCCAAGGACCGCGTGAAGGTACCCCCGATTTATGTCCCCCCCAGGACATCTGACGAAACCGGAGATGGAATATTAAAACCCTTCGGCGCCACTTCAAGGATCCCGAAGAGTCCTTTAGCGCGGTCGGAAGCGACGAGGTTCCCGTGGAGCGCCATTTTGCCGCGATCTGGGCGCCGCCACTTTTTGCACGTAGGGTTTTAATCCCGACACGTTTCAGGGGCGGATTAGACTTGGCAAAAAGGAAACGCGGGGGCGGCGTCATCGCGATACATTTTTCCAGGCAGGCCGCGAGAGGAGAGAGCAAATGTCTGCCATTATTGACACGCGCGAGACAAAGCGCCCGCCGGGGCGGCGATGTCTTCTTTTTGGGCCGCATCCGGAATACGAAACTCGTCCGCCGCGGAATTGTTCGCGGTCCCATTGAGTGACGCACGCGCGTGAAAAAATAAATCCCCCTCACCCCTTGGGAACTTCGTTCGGGTCAACTTCGAGCCGCCCTCCGAAGGACGCGCCGGCTCGGTGATTGCTTCGTTTCAGCTTGCGTTTCGGCTTGCGCGTCGAAAAGTGTTTACGCGATGCATATTTATGCATCGCCGCGCATAACTCGCCCGCGACACGGATTAATATGCATAGACCCCCATATTAGGATTGTATTTCGACGTCGTACCCGTGTACCCTGCGTCGTGCCGGGCGTCGCGCTTCCCCTGCACCGTGCACCCTCCGTTGCACCCTACCTTGTCCACTCGAAATTAAGGCTCCATCGATTCCGCTCCCAAAATTGACTCTGTCTCCCTCGGACAAGTTGAGATGTAATGACCCGAGATTTCTATGCAAATTCATCCTGGTCTCGGAATTTATGGAAATGGCCTAGAGACGAGTAACGCCGTCCTTGCGAGCTGTTTCGCCGGAACCGTAACACCTACATGTAATGGAGAACCAAAATTCAGGGCATTCAGGCTTAGATGCTCCGGAGAGAAAAGATGAACACGGTGCTCGATGAAAACTACACTCCAGTGTCGCAATGTCGAATAAGTAAGAGCTGTTTCGACGGAACCGTGAAATTTACACGAAACGGATGTGCAAAATTTGGTTGCCTTCTACATTCTGCAACCAAATATGGTGTTTTGCCGTACCGAGAAAGGATGGAAACGCGAAAATTCACGCCGGAACTTGCAATTACGCGACAGGTGTGGAGGTACGATTGTACCGTGAGATTCCCGTGCGGATATTTCGGGGGTCCTTGATGTTACTGTTATCAGAATTCCGGTGGCATTTCGTTACCGCCAGAGAGGACATTTTCGCCGCCCCGGACAGTTCGGTCCTGGGTGCACGGGTCAGGCAATCACTTTTGGTTAATGTCGAGTTCAAACCGACGCCATAAACGTTACTTGCACGTGTAACGGACGTCCGCGTCGGCTGGTCGGTTCCCGTATGAATACGTCTTCCTAGTTGGCGCGGCCATTATTTAGTCCGCAGTCGAGTATTTCTCGGGACTGCATAACCGGCGTTGCACTCGTCCATATGCATGCAACGACTGTGACACTTACCCAGCACGACGAGTTTGACGGGTCTGCCGAAGACGAGCTGTCCGCGGTCGTCCTCGAGACTGCAGCCCCACGTTCCGTCGTCCTCCAAACGGACGTTGTCGATATGCAAGGCGGCTGTGGTGGAGTCGCCGACGTATCTGTGTCCAGTGCCGCTCATCTCCGTTCTAGTGTCTATGGTGATCATGTCGACGGAGTGCCCGGCGTGCAACCAGGTCGCTGGCCTCGCTCTGTAACTTCTAACAATGAAGAGAAATATTTTAATCCCTCCCACGTTCCTGAAAAACGTCCCTTCAGGGTCATCCCAAAGAACACATTAGTCTAGACCGATAAAAAAAAATCGATTTCTCACTTGGAGTCAGATCTTTCTCAAAATGCATAGTTTACTCTCAGGTACGGACTGCACATCGTGAAATTGAATGCCACGAAAAATGGAAATGTGACGAAGGGATATGAATGTTAAAAAAATTTGTAGCTGTGCCCCATGTACTTTGCTTGCCGCAAGGGTGACAGTTTAATCAGGGGCTTGATATGTCACCTGATAAATGATTACATCTATCATTTTTGGCCTTGGCCTCCTCCTTGCATTTTTAATTTCAAGGGGATAAGTGCCTGAGTTCTTCAAAAAACTGGATCATCGTAAATGATGGGGATTTTTATAAAGGATCCTTGACTCACCTGGTCGCTGGCAAGAGTTTCGAATAGTTCCCATCGAGTTCGCAAGGTAGAACGACCTTGCTATGGGGTTTGACGACGATTTCGATGGGTGGCCTGGGCGAGTTCGTGGACAAGTGGAAGGGATCGTTCGTGGAAGTCGGGAAGCCCGTCGGCCAAGGTTCGTCATCCGGGGCCAGGAGGGCGGCAGGTTGCACGACGTCCTCCGAGGGTGCAGTCAGCGTCGGCACCGGCGTCGCAGCGGTCGTGCTGGTAGTGGTCGTCCTCCTGGAGCGTCGTCCACCCTCCTGCCTGCCGCGCAGGGCAAAGAGACCAGCCTCGTTGACGGAACCTGAAACCGGGAAGCAAACCGTCACTTTTCCACCAGTTGAGCCGGATTACGGGGGCAAATAGAATTAGGGAGGCTCTTTCCGGAAGCGGCCAGCTGAGCTCCGCTCAAACGCAGCCTGCGGCGCTTCCGAGGATGCTCGTTATAATGGGACCCAGTCCTTGGACTTTCCTGATAACGACTACCCCGAGACGTATTTACCATAAATTGGTCTCACTCGGTGATAGACAACTAAATACCGACTATACGCAATAATTCCTCCTCATCGAAGGTCTCCCTCTGGTCCACCCCATCGGCATCCCTCCCCGAGTCTCCCCAGGAACAACAATTTGCAGCCGCAGCCGAGGTCTAATACTGCGAATGTTTGCAGTATCTCCCCCTGGAAATTCGGTTTGCAGCTGCAGCAAGTTTCCTCCCCGTGTTTGTCTCCACTTAACTTTTTCCGCGTCGTGCAAGAGGCGCCGTTTGCGCGGCGACTTTTTCGTAGGATCGCTCGCGGGTCGGCTTAAAAATTCTCCCCTTCGCGGGAGGTGTCCCGGAAGGGGAGGAAGGTAAAGCTTTGATCGGGACGCCGATACCTCGCGAGGGTGGAATTAGGCGAGGGCGTCGTAATCGCGGGGAGCCTTCGCCGACCGACGGTAAATATTCCTGGCAGCAGGGCTTGATCGAGTTAGCGCAGCCCCGGAATTCGATAAAGTTGCGACAACGCAGCTAACCCTCCTTGCCGGGCTCCATTTTCTCCGCTTCCCGTCCAGACGGCGTCGCGACGCCTCGGCGCTCTCTCCCAAAAGTGCCAACCCCTCCCTAGGGCGCTCGGAGGCCCCTCTGGAATCCAATTATGGCTCCAATGAGCCGCAAATAGGTGCCCGTCTCTCCCATAAAGGTGCGCTCCCGCCGGGGGATTAACGAACGACTGGGCAGCCGTTTTACGAATTTTCATATCAAGCGTCCGCAAACGCTCGCGATTCCCTTTTTCCTCATAATTTCCCGTGTTTGTTGGGTTTTGTAGCTTTTCACCGGGTTACAGGAAGCGATAATCGCGCGTCGTGTTATCGGGCCGCCACCTGGGGGCGACCGACACCCTCCGGCGGACGGGAGGGCAGATCGTCTCCGTCCCCGGCGTATCCCCGACGAAAGGAAGCCCGCGGAAACGAGGGAGTCTCCGAGACTCACGAGAGGGCGGTCTCGGAATAGTAACGAGTGGAAATCCTTCTTCCCCCGGACAAAGAGATTCCGTGCCCTGAGGCAGTTCCGCGGGAAGGAAGAGCAATCGCGACTGTAAGGTCGAGGTCGCCCGGAAAGGATCTCCTCCAGAGAGGAAACCGTGGTCACGGTGTACGCATTGCCAAGCGGCTACATTGACCGTGTGTTCTCGGAAACGCCTTTACGTGTTTTCACACGGACGATCTGGAAGTATTGCCTTCTCGGAGATGGTCCCTCGGACGTTCGTGCCCATGTCTACGAGGTTGAGTGGGTGGGAAAGGAGGAACCGGGGGAAAGAGGAATACCGCCACGGGGGCGAAAATGATCGGGTGATATGGAAACGTCGGATAACACTGTAGATGACAAAGTCACCAGAGTGGGAAAAAATAAACGAACGGGGGAATAGCATTTCGTGCTTTTAGGTATTGGTACCTTATACTTGCATGCAGTAGTCGTACTTGTACGGGGTCAGACAACTTCATTGGGGGGAAATCAATTTTTATGGCAATTCTTTTTCTAATGAGACTTGACCAAGCAGGTGGAGAGGGGAAGGGGGCTTCCTAGATCAAGTTTCATTAACCGAGATTGACGGATTTGGACCTATTCTCCCCTTTTCTTAGGAAAAGGTCTGATCGCGGCAAGTAGTAGTCCTCCACGCATGGTCAGCCGTAAGCCGTATGGCCACCAGTAGTATCGGTTCGACACGGCCCGACGTTGACGCATGCATTATTCAACCGTAGTATCCATTCATTATTCATGTCGTGATCAATGAGTGTCAACAGAGCACGATCCGTATATCAGGAACCTTCGACAACGACTGCACCAGAAAGCGAAAGCGCACGCGCCGCGCCATTTTCGGGCACAAAAGGAACGCACTCTGCAGGTAACGAACTGCGGAGCAGGCCTCGTAACGAACTCGTCGATGGACTGCTTGCTGTCGACTGCATTCGATTGCACGCGGACATAACTCTAATATCCGGACGAGCCGGAGTCCTAATGGAATCGGAGCCATCGCGAGTCCTATAACGAATGGAGTCAAATTCCGGATTTTTGTCTCCCTCTGTTAAGGGCCATCCGTTGCATCCCTTGGATGGACTAGGGTGCATCCTATGACGACCAATTTTCAAATCTACCCCTTTCTAATCCCTAATGCGAAGTTCCCCTCCAGCATGTTCCTTGGTTATCTCCAACTTCCACGCATCTTCTTCGACTGCGCGGCTCGAGGTGGAATTATTTATCCGGAATTTTTTCTCCGACTCCCCGAAATCCCTCTCGTCCCCTTCGTGCCCTGCGAGAGATTTCCGGCTTTCCTGCTCCCCCGAGGCTGCCGGCACTACGCGCCTCTGAAATCCCTCCAGCCGATAAGAAGATGTGCATGAGCCGTTTCCGATTTACCTGCAAATAGGTGCCACGAGGATCGCATCGAGTTTAATTAGCGGCAGTGCACTCTGCTTTTAGAATGACATAAATTATCGCCAGAGGCTCCTTTGTTTCCCGGTCCTCCACCAAAGCCTGCTCGATCCCCCTCGTTTCGAATGTACTTAGCAAATGGAATCGAAGATTCCTTTTTACTTCCGATGGCGCTTCTTCCCTTGTTCACGGCCCCCCTCTTCGCTATCAACGGCCTTAAAATATCCATTACCGCTCCGCTTTATCGCAGACGTTATTATCTCGTTCCGGGAATTTGAACACAAAGAGATACGAGGCGCCTCGTATTCTTTGGCCGATTTTTCGCCATTCCTCGCGGTGAGGAATTATCCCGGGGGGCGGAACCTGTCCGTGTCTTATTTTCCTGGAGCAGGGAAAATTACCGACGGCACCGATCGTCGCATAATGCGGATGACCGACTTTACTTGCAATAATGGCCGCTCGAGCGCGTGGAAATCGCGGAGGGTCGGAAGGGCAGATCTCTCTCTCTCGGGAAGAGAGAAGGTCGGCCACGCGTTAGTGTACCGAGATATTTCAATTGTGGTTACACAAAGTACCGGCCGCCTGCCCGTTACCGTTCCTGAAGTTCGTAGTTGAACCAGTCGGAATATCGCGAGCTGACGTTGCTTTTGAGCTATGAAAATCGCGCAAACAATAGGGACAGAACGAGAACGCCGCGGCGCCGCGCTCGGCTACTATTACCGTATTCCTGTATATTTCTGTATATCCCCCCACACCCCCCTGGCGACCCCCCTCGTAATACGTACATGCACATACGCGGTACGGCGAAATATCCTTTCATAGAGTTTATACACGGTATCCTCGCCAATTTTAATCTTCGCGCCCACCTACGTCCGAGCTCACGCCGAGCTACGGGAGCCCGTGTACAGGTGTGGGGTGTGCAGGTGCAAGGCGTGCAGGTGCATCGCGGCATGTAGGTTACCACACGCCGCACGTACCTAGGTACCTCCATCCACCTACCAGGGGACCAACATTTATATCTTTCTAAACCGGGCGCGATACGAATCTACGGGCCGTAAGTCGACTGTCGTAAAGCTCTGCGACTTCCCACCCACCACCCACCACCCACCGCCCACTCTCATATATATTTGCACATGAGTGCAGAAGCGGCTATTCATTCTCCGGCTTATCGCGCGGCTTTCGTCGTTCAAAAATGAGCTTTGGAAAATCGCTACTCCCTGGGATTCCCCTTCCGGCTTTTTATCGCCTCCTTTAAGAACTGCCCATTTTGCGAGGGAACTCTTCCCGGCGGTTTCGGCGTCCCCGAAATAACCCCGGAAGTCACGGTTCGATAACTTTCGATATTTCCCGTGTCATATAACGGCAGAACACTGCTTTCGGGAAACCTCACTTCCGTAATGTCTGTTTTCCTCCGTCTTTGCGTGGAAACGTTATTAGTGCCTCGAGTACATACCCGGTGACGAACGCCCGCGAACCCCCGAGTTTATCATCGGCGATTGGACGCCGTTTGCATAATGTTACCCACCACGGGCCAAGTTATGCTAATGTTATAGGCTCGCGGTGCATTTGCGAAATTTTGTGCCCTGCTACTATCTGATATCGGGAATTCTCCTCGGTACTTCTTCGGATGGGAACGACTCCATGTTCTCGCAAATCTTATATATTAAGCCAAACCTAGACCCATTGACGGATCTTTAGAAATTCCCTTCGAACTATAAAAGACTTTAAAGTTTCATAATATACCGCATTCCATTAATGAATATATTCGAGAAGAAAGATTAACGCACTTTTATGGGGAATTTAATATTTTCTAACGGCTAATAGGATTTAGATTGTGGGTGTTATTTCGTCTCGTTACTTCGGGGGTATTAGGGCTTTTCCCTGGATTCGGGACGACCCCTGGTGGAGGGCTGAATTTCGGGGAAATAATCGGGAAACGGGCCGCAAAGTGCGCCGGGGTGCGAGCCGAAGTGACGAGCCGCGATGAGCGAGGCCCGTTGGAATACGAGACACGTCCGCGGGACCGCCATTAGTGCCTCATTAATAAACGCCAGCCACTCGTGCAACGGCGCCGTGTGAAGCCCGAGGGTGAGGCGCCCTCGTAAAAGAGGGAATAACGACCCAAAACGTCAATCTTCGGAGCCGCTCCAAGCCTCGACAAATTGCTATTAACAAAGACGTCTCGAGGGCTACCTCGAGCGACCGCCATCGCGATTCCATCTAGTCAGAAGTTCAGTAAAAAATGGAGAACGCGAAAAAAAAAGAGCGGCGCGAATCAACGTCTGAGATTTTTACGGATTTTCTCGTATGCCAATAGGTTAGCATGAAAAGTTTTGCATTGTTAAAAAGTCGTGTCATTGGTTAACATTTGAAATTGTCAATTTCGCATGCAAAAGGTAATCGTATAAGCTCGAGAATCGAATCTTTCGATTTTTTTCGCAGACAAATAGATTTGCATGAAAAATTTCGCATTATTACAAAGTCGCGTTATTCGCCAACATTTGAATGACGTCGTTGAATGTCGACATAAAACTGTCAATTTTGCATGCGAAAGTTGATAGTACGAGCTTGAGAATCGGGTCCTTCAGATTTTTGAAAGATTTTTGAGAATTGATTTGCATGAAGAAGATTGCATTGTTGCGATATCGCGTCATTAGTCAACATTTGAATGTCGTCGTTGAATGTCGACACGAAACTGTCAATTTCGCTAAAGTTAATAGTACGAATAAGATAATCTGGTTCCTGACCACGACGAAAATTTGGAGGTAATAAATTAGATTCGTCTGATATGCCGGACGCCAGAAATGAAATTCCAAAGTCCGCTCGTTCCCGAAGGCCAATCTTTCGAAAATTCTAATGTTATTTCGGATTGTTTGAACGGGCAATATGTTCCCGTGTAGCGGCCAATCCTGGTGTCATGTTTTCGTTGGCGAGCTTTGTGCCGTCCCGGAATATGACGGAACAAATGAAACCGCACGAATTTAATCCGATCACGCCAAGCGAGTACGATTTTGTGCACGGGACGTGCACCTCCCGCTCCGCAAAATTGGGACCTGGGACGCGGGACGCAAAGACGTTATTAATATTAATTAATTCCGAGTACGTGTCCAGAATAACACGTA